ACGTTCGTAACACAACGTGCCAATATCGATAAGTCAGTCGGAACAAAAACAAGCGAGGGATCGGTTCGACTCTGCGGCGGTACACCCGGTTACCAATCTTCCCATACGTCTCCCGTTCGGCACGCTGTCGCGATCTCGTTACACGCGCGCGTACACAGCAAGATCGCGAGCGGAGAGGAACCGAGAAACCGCTCACGACGACGACGGGAGGATAGAGGAGGTTACCCTTTCCTTCCATCCTGTCCGCCGTTCAACTTTATGCATCCCTCGCGAACCGTAAAATTGCCGACTGTTGCACGGATCGATGAAATTGGGAATTGTCGTATCGGCTGATCGATTTGGAGGTAGGTAGTGTATCCCTACGTGGAATATATCGGATCGAAGGCACACGTGATACGTAAATTGAACTGTACGTGTCTCTTTTGCAACGTAAACGCGAAGCGTTTCAAAAAGTCAGGAATATAGAGCGAAGCTTATAGTTATTTTCGTGAAACGCAACCAGCGGTTTTTGCGTAGTCTCGAGGCTTTCAGCTAGCGAAAGTCGTACTCTGGAATGACCGACTCTGAGTGATCGTGGCACAGGATCGCCAACGAAGAAAAGGAGAAGGAGGAAACGCTGTTGAGTTACGTGGTCGCGCAAGTGTTTGCCAATTATCTCGAACGGCCGGTCGACTCTAATTGGACTTTACGCTAGTGGGTGGGATCTGGGATGCTGTCTGCTTCTCGAGGGAGAAAAGAAAGAAAAAAAAAAAAGCCTCCGGTCTTTGGAGTACCGAGCCTCTGCGGTTAAGCGGAGGTAGAGTAGCGGAGGATATATCCGAGGAAGAGGATAATTGGTCGAAAGCAGGGGAACGATTTGCTCTATTAAATCTAGCGGCTGGTTTCTCTCCGAGGAGGCACAAGTCTGAGTTGTTCCGAGGTGTTCACCCAGGGTTACGACGATCGTATCGCTTTATTACACACCTCCGGCATCGATCGCTATAATGGAACGATCGCATCGATTGCCGAACGCCTATTTACGGTCTTTATTTGGAAGCTAGCGTTGCCAGCGGTCCCGTAACTTTTCACACGATCAGCGAACATTTGTACCAGATGCTACTGAATACTGTGAATCTTCTTTTTTCTTTTTTTTTTAACGAGACGAGTTACAGTTTTTTTCTTTTCAACATCCCTGCAATGCGTTTACACATTTTTTTTTTTTTTTTTTTTTGCAAAATGGAACAAAATAGAAACCTTGCAATCTCGAATTGGCCGAGGATCGAGTTGGACACGTAGCAACAACTTTCCCGAAGACTTTCATGCAAGAGAACGGAATGGAACGAAACGGAACGACAAAACGCAAGACGGAGTCAATAACATCCGCGTAAACACCCACACGCGCGGCAGCAGCCCGTATGGGCTCTTCTCCACGGCGATTGAGCCACGACCCGGCTGTAAGTCTTGCACGGGTATAAACCAATCCTGAAAGGAGAACGCGATGCAACGGAGTATCCATTTCACGAGCGATGGAGACATCGGGGGTACCACGTTCGATTCCAACCATATGCTAATTCCTTTCTGAACCGGCGCGCTCGCCGCGCTCTTGTCGTGTGTATGTCGCCGCGGTCCGGACGGAAATAGGAGGAGATTCTCGAGGACACGTCCTCGAGCAGCGCGATGTTAAATCTTTCGCCATTCAAATCGCAGTTTGTCCCGTTTCCAAATGGGACGAACTGCGACCAGCTACCTGTCCAACACCAATTTTAATATTGTTTGATCTACGTCCCTTATTTCCTCGGGGCTGGCGAAGTTTATCACGCTGCCTGTTTCTATTCGGGAATAATAGATTACGTGCTGCATGTTGGAACGTATTGTATTGGAATAATGAACAGATTCGTAGCTTTAACTTGTTTCATCGATTCGTGACTTCGATGGTAGCAGCCTCTCTTTTCAAAGAAAAGAAAGCTTTATTCTCGCGATGAAGAATCGCGAGACTGCATAATCTCGTAGCCTTTGCTACGTTTCAGCATCCAACTGTATCGAGCGAAAGATCCAGCGGAGATCTCTGTAAAAGGAGAAGAGACAGGGAGTAGAATTTTCATGGATTTTCCAGCCCATCCATCAGCCATCGAAATCCA